GAAGAACCCGTCCAGAAGACCTATACAATTTTTTTCTTTTTGATTTTTACCTGGATTACTGAGATGCATCAGGACATAATTGTTAATTGTTCACAAACAAGTGAACAAAACAAATACATGAAAACAAAAATCCCCAAAGACTGAYGCAGAAGGCTAGTAACTAATTTCAAGAATTCTAGAAAACATATTTTTTTAAAGTTAAAGCCACAGCAAACATACTTCTCTTTCATAAAAGCTGTTCCTAATAACTTGAGCTCTCAAAGTGTTTTTTTTACAAGGTCGCCACATTTAATGACTAAGAATGAATGCASTAACTGCCAAGAGTGAAGGCGTAAGAAAAAGTTTTGCGAAGGCTTCAAAATTACCAGAATTTCTGCAGAGGTTACATATTAAAAGTGGTCTGATGTCTTACCGGTTCCACATAAACAAACGCAACGAACACCCCGAGTTTAACTGACAGTGCAGGCTGAAAAAGTGTGAACCCTCGAGCTTACGACTTCTCCATATGCAATTTAAAGTTAGGTTTTCAGGATAAAGAAATAAGATTGGGAAAAATTGGTTGCAGTGGTGCTCCCTCTCTAAAAATAAAACTGCACAAAAACTGCTCTTCAGAAGGAAGATTGGTTTATATGAATCATAACAACTTTCACTGGACCTTAGAGAAAGTCTTTTTTCGAGATGTTGATGCTGGAAGAGGCTACAACAGCTTCCCTAAAGACATCAGCTGTCATCGCTGTACAGGAGGGGGAAAAAATCTATTTTTAAATGAAGGAAATTCAGGACTATTGCTGCTTTTTGAGAGTGGATTTATGGCAAAGTTCAACAGTAGCATAAAAATTCCTGGAAGACGTGTACGTTGTATACAGCGTTAACAGCAAAAACCTGCAGAAGTCTGTATTACTTGATAATATTGTTGTACATGAGYCTTTTACCAAGACATCATAGTGTTTTTCTTTAAGGGGAGCAGGATGTAAAAAATGATGAAAGAAATAAACGGGCCCAAACCAACCTCATCACACTAGTGAAGCATAAGGAAGAATTATTTTGGTTTAGAGTGGCCTTGATCCCTTTAACTATTCAAAACTTGCACTATTACTTTTTTTTTGGTCACAACAAGAGGGCACAACATAATTGAAAAAAAATAAAGAAATGATTGACCACAACCACAAAGGTTAAGTGATTCCCAATCAGGGGTGTGCGAGCATATTACAGGGGGTATGTGGGAAAATTTCCCAGATGGGTAAATAAATAATTAAATAAATAAAGAAATAAATAAATAAATAAATAAAAATAGGACTGGGATATGTAGGGCCCTATGATTTCCACAATGCGGAAAACACAACGGAATCACAAAATTGACACAAAATGGAATCCAGTAAAAAAAAATGCGGAATTTCATGGAATTTGCTCATTTGGGTGAGTTTCTGATGTATTTTGGACGCTGCTGTTTTCTGCACCTGCATTTACCTAGTTTATTTATATAATTACTAGGGCTGTGTATTGGCAAGAATTTGGCGATACGATACATATCATAGCAGAGGGGTCACGATACGATATATCC